AATAAGAAGAAGAAGAAGAAGAAGAAGAAGTAGAATAGTTGGACCGCCAAAGCCTGGCGATGGCCCGGACATCTGCAGGGGAGATTATTATTACATAAATTTCTAACGCGAAACGGACACGTATTGGCTAAGGTGACTTTTGACTATTGGACAGTGAGACCAATTCTGGCAAAAGTCGTGCAAGCCTGTCACAGGTTCCAGCTGCAGACAGTTGCAGTTACTGTTGTAGCTGCTGTAGGTCCTGCTGTTGCTGCGGCTGTCTGCTGTTGTGGATCTCTTTCCCTACTGACATACTGTTGTTGACATTGGCTGGTGTTAATGATATTCCTGTAGACATCTTTCCTGTTTTCCAGCACACCCTTTGATATTTATCATTATTTCATTTTTGTTCATGTCCAAAGCACTGATGTAAATAGTGGTCGTTGCTGAGACTGCGATAGACACATGGAGGGCGCCGTGGTAAAACACATTATATCAATAAATTACTGCAGAACTTAAGAAAAATGGATAAAACACATTTGCTGAAGGCAAAAATATGAACGAAACGCAATTAAAATCGTAAGAGTTGTTATCAAGATATTCAGAGATTTACATTCGAGAAAGCTTGATAAAAAATGATATGTGGTAAAACTCGAAATGTTTTGTGTCAAATGTCTCAAAACTAGGTACTGAGGAGATAGGACTTTTTTGCGTTTTGGGAAGGTAGCCTTCATAATGTAGTTACTGACGAACCTGTTGATACTGTTGTTATAGTGATTTTAATTATATTCGCTTTGATATTATTGCTTTGGTGATGTCGCTACCGCTCATAACTTCATTACATTAGTGGATGTGTTAATGTTGTACTATGTGTATGCTGTGTTGTTTTTCTATGTCCGTCTTCTTATGGTGTGTGGTTGTTGTTGTTGTTCTTATTGTTCTTGTTTTTGTATATTTGTTGTTGTTGTTGTTGTAGGGAGAGTGTGACCGTAGGTGTGTGTGTGTGTGTGTGTGTGTGTGTGTGTGTGTTTGTGTGTGTATGTGTGTGTGATTTGGTATCAGTATTTATGCTGAGAGTTCGAGGTGGAGCGAGTATGTTTAAATGTGTACGAACGTGTGTGCAATGTCTGCATGCCCATATTTAGAAACGAATGATGCATCAACGTATACACGGTTTTAAGATAATGGATTACGTCAGAGTTCATATCTGTGTTTATGTGATGCGTTTTTACGGGCATGTGTCGAGTTTGTAAAAGTATGTGCTTTTTGTTATTTTTTCTTTTGGTTTTGAATCTACACGCACGTGCGCATACATTGTAATATGACAGAATAGATTATTTCTTTGGCAATAACGTAATGGGGTTTTTTTTTTTGGGGGGGGGGGGTTGGAAGGGGGGGTTGCCTTTTTTTTCTTTTTTGCTGTTCTAGAAAATAGATGAGCCCGAAAAAGTTTGAATATACGATCTAATATTTTACCTATGCTTAAGGAAATTGGAAACTTGAGGTTGATTCTAGAAGAACTGTTAATAAATACTAACTCCAAACAACGAATTTACAACATTCCGGGAATCTGTTCTTGGCATGGCTTTTTGCTTGTTTGTTTGTTTGTTTGTTTGTTTGTTTATTTGTTTGTTTGTTTATCTGGGTTCTATGCTGGTTATATTATTGGTGTTTTGCTATTGCAATTTCGGGGCTGAGGTTATCATTGTATTTTTTTCGTTTCTTTCCTTGTATTGGGTAAGGGAGTGGAGGAGGGAGGGGGGGGATAACCACGCAGCCTGCAAATATAACCATCGTTACTGGGCTGAGCTGCGAAAATTTTAAATATGATTCAAAGAGAATAAAAAAAGGGGGGGGGGGTGTGGTGTTATCGTTTTATTTGCTTTTATTATTATTATTTTTTTTAGCCGGATTAGAGACGTGCATTGAGGGAGTATCTTAGCAGAGTGTTTCTAAGTGGGTGAGATACACGTACTAGAGAAATGAGGAAAGTAGTCATTTAATAGGTTGGTTGTGACGTCATGACCAACAATCAACTTGAATCAACCAACGTCCAAGTTGATTTTAAGCAGCGCAAAATATACATACTTTCATTAAAAACACAGCTTATATATTGTGCTCGAAACAATCTCTATTTCTTATCTTTGATCCAGGTTTATTACAGTTTCTTTTTACAAAATGTTACTTAAACTTACTCAAGGAAGGCAACTCCTGCTTTATTCAATTGTCTTTTTTTCTGCAGGTCCATTGACCAATGAATAAACATGCAATGTTATCTTTTATAGAATTGCGAATTAAATACCACCATAATTTAGGGAAATAAACTGCACACTGCAATAAACCCGAAAGGAATATCATTATCAAATAAAGTTGTTTCAAGTGCAATACCTCCGTCGCATTTTTGATGAAACTCAGTACACGTACATGTATATTATTTGTACGATGAAACTAAAACCAAAATGAAGTTCACATCTGAAGGCGTGGTGGTGAGGTGTTGTATTATATTCTTTATTGCGCGTCCCTATGTTACAAGTTTAAGTACTTTGTGCCACGTCAGAAGAAAAACAAAACAAGTTCCTGTAAAGAAACAAATCAATAATAAAATATTCCAGATATACAAACACGATGTTGACTGAAGAAGGGGTGAAATAATACCTCATTGAATAATTAGGAATACCTTCGCTTGTTTTAGATACTTCATGGTTCAATATTTACACACCTCCTTGAATAATTAGGAATACCTTCTCTTGTTTTAGATACTTCATGGTTCAATATTTAAGCCTTTTTTTTATCGCACATAAAGTGAGAAAGCACAAAATCATTGGAAATGTTTCGGTGAGTGACTTTTGGATAATACATCATGGATTTCGTTTACAAGAATAGATAGAGACATTGATTGACTGTCAGCTGATGACACAGGCTCGAGAACAATGAATTAATGTTATTATAATTATGCTTGTGTAATTTCTGTGAGAAACTAAAACCTTACGTCGATCAAAGTGACTGGTGACTGCGATGTTTTCCTTTTACAAAATTAAATGACAGTGATTCAAAGCGGAGCTCTTACCTGCACTAGTGAAAGCATGACTCACAACTCAGAGATAAATATATTATGGTGAATGTTGGATGTTTGAAAAGATACAGTGTTCCTTCTTCTGGGGTCTCGTTTAGGGAGAAAATTTATCACGAAAATAGTTTCTGAAACATTTTTACAAGAACAGTAATCACAATTTAAATCAACAACATTCAAGACCCCCGCCATCCTTCCAACTTCCGGCGTGAGGGATCATGGTATAACTTCGAATGACGTCATGCCCATCCCTCCAATCACAGCTGAGTTCACCGCAAGGGCTGGTCGTATCTGGCCCACTGGGGAATGACCCTCTGTGCGGTATTGGGGTCTTTCTTAGCAGCAATAGCTACAGGAGCTCCTTGCAGGAAAGGATTGCTGTGGTCTGATTGCTCAGACTAGGGAAAGAAATGGTTTAAAAAAAAATATTTATCAATGTCACCAAGACAAAACATGCAAGGTATCGCGGTAAAGAGAAAACTAGTATTTTCTTTAGTAAAGTAGCCTATGCATGGTATGAATTGTATATTGAAAGAGGAGACGACATGATGACAACAATAGAAGATAAACTTTCTTATAAATTGCAATTGTAATTGATTTGCACTCCTGGACACAGTTTAGGTAATTTAGGAGGCGGAATGTTTCGGTCCTGTCCGTCAGGGATAGCCCGGGCTGAGAGGAATACAACATCCCAGGGGAAATACAGAGACACCCCATAAAGATTATCCCCAAACGGAAATCAAACTCAAGCCTCTGCTACACCCCAGACACCGGTTGATTAAAAAATGATGCGTAAAAATCAATGCAAGGTTTTGTTTGTTTGACTTATCATGTGTGACCAAGTTCTTCAGAGAATCAGAACCCGCAGCATGTGGTAATCGGCGTGTGTATGGCGATGGTAAAGCTCATCATCTCTAGTGTAAGCAAACGGCGCGAGAACGGGAAGAAATTGTTGTAACGAATGAATATCTCCGTCTGTCAGCTGGGATACTGTATCCCAATGTCTGGGTGTCATAGCCGCCCGCCTCCTGCATGCTCTTCGTGTGTCTATGGGGGTGACAAACCTATACAAGCACTTACAATCATTGGTATGTGGCAGAAACAATCTAGAAGAATGTCTTTAAAGATTTGAAAGATCGATAGTTGAAATCATCTGCTATTACCTTTCCTCAAATCATAGAATCTTTTTGTCACTTATGATCGGTGTTTTTGTTCAATATATAGAGGGCTCGCATGAAGTGAGATAAAGAAAGAAGGAATGAATGAATAGTGGACTGCTTTTGTTTGACCTTCCCTCCTTTTTGGCACGGAAAAAGAAAAAATGCAGAAAAGGTGACCAACTCATTTTCCTTCTTATTTCGAGTGTAATAGATGTCCTTATACTCTCTCAAGTGATTCACAATTTACTCTCAAGACAAAACAGTATAATATGCGTCTTTATTAAGAAAACCTCTAAATGTTTAGAGACAACAGTCGATCAAACGGTAAAAACTGCTAGATCTAATTCTGAAATAAAAAACTTCATGAACTTTTCATTTTAATCCACTGAAATCCAGTTACTGTTATTTCTCTACTTACTGTTCATTGGAAAATGAACAACTTAAGACGAAAGATTACAGGTTAATGAATCAGTTGGGACCTTGTAGTGAGTCATTGGAAGTCCTTAAACTCAACAGATATGTTAATTACAACAACAACACTGTACTGATACAATAATGAACCTTAAACCAAAGAAAAGAAATAGCCGCCATAAACTCTTGTGTGAATCGGAGTAAGTATCGTGATTAGTTTACTTTTCAATACTAGTCTAGGGTTCAAGTTGGACTTTTACAGCACTTTCAGCTTGAATGAAGACATCAAGAGGCTGGACCTCAAAACTAAATAGTCGTTCTTTGGGGACTAAAAAAATCCACCTCTGAAAACCTTCTAAAAAATAGTCATAATAACGATATCACCACAGCATTTGAACCTAACGAGTGTCTTTTTAATCCACCAAAAGGGATCCCCTGATGAGTTAGATGATTTCTGGAATGACAAGGAAAGGAATAAATAATGAGATGTTAGTTTGGGAGAAGGCCACATGAAGTGACTTACTCGTTTGTGAATAATATGTGGAGACTTCTTTGCCACCAGCGTCACTCTTTTCCGCGTCTCCGACATTGTGGGGTTGTTTTCCTGACAATAGACATATATACAAGTCCCACACGTGAACGTCAAGCGTTTCCGAGAAATGCCAACTTGTCAAAGAATTAGGAAGCTCATTATAGCAGTTGTTGTAAAGCGCTAAAAGCATGAAGCAAGCGTGGATATGTGCTGTTATTGACAAGATTTTTATTACTAATATTATCATTATTATGATGATTATTTGAATGATTATTATTAATATTGCTATTCTTATTTTTATTAGTACTATTACTATTACTATT